TTTTTTTCGAATAACTCCATTTGTGCACAGTTTCTTGAACTTATCGTTACCAAACATTGCCTATTTTGAAAAAATTTCCACAATCATCGTGACTGAGGAAGTAACAACGTTCAAAATAAGCGAAGTGGAACTCGGTGCACACTGGTGACATCTCGAAACTGCTAGCGCGTTGCCTGGTGCTTCTGCCGATAGAACCGCTCAGCCAGTGATTCCTTCCAGCCAGGCGTCAAGATCGCCAGCATATGACCACCAAACGGTGCAATTTTAATCACGTTGGTTTGTCGTTTTGTTTCATTTTTATGCGTTTTTGCTGTGCAGCGCTATAGCGCCGCTACAGCCAGCAAAAACCCCAATTGTCGACAAACTGCCTGTGTGTGCTCAGAAAGCGAGTGCATTTTGTCACCCATTTTCATCTCAGCAACCAGGAAAGCTGGGAGACGAATATTTGTCAACTATGATTTACAAATGATCCTAGAAAGTAAGTGTATTCATACCAGTGAGTGAGAATGAATCTCTTTTTCAGCAACTCGGAAATATTTCAGGCCGATACGATGCAGTCGATGGCCGTATTTCCAGAAGAACTCGTTGTGCCGATTGAACGTCGAGCAATTGTTCATCATAAGCGTGAAATCGGCTTTCAGTTGAGAAAGATTCTTATACTCTCCTTTCGCAAGTTTCCTGTCAAAATTAAAATTTTAAGGAGAAATGCAGCTCAAAATCTTGTGCTGAAGCATCAAACTCTTCGTCAACAAAAGCATTTGTTGCTAGTTCTACAACGCATAAACGATAACCGATACTCTAGCACCAAAAATGAACTACAGCCAAATTTAAAGCAACAAAAAAATACTTGCGCATAGTTGACAAATCCATTGGATTTTTAATGACTGTCGAATAGCCCGGCACTTCTTTTTCACTGACTGGCTTTGCAAAGACCTAAATTTTTCAAAAAATATCGATGAACAACAAGCCAACTGTGCTCCGGCTTTCTAAACCATCTAATGAAAGTGCTATTATGAGTACCTTCAAATTCAAAATTATAAAAACCAATTATTCAAGAACCTATCATAAACTGCGAAGATCTGGGAAAGAAAGAAAGAGTTACATCGCTGTAATCCTTTGATGCGATCTTCTCAATCACGCCATCCATGACAATGCACAGCGGCCTGGTCAACTGATTTAACAAAGTTGCTGTTGAATTATACTGCAAAAATGTAAACTTGACATTGCAATAAAATAAATCTGAGTCTCTCAGCCTGCAGAGTACCTCACTATGATCTAGGAATTGCAACGTCTGAGATGAGGTGGTAATGCTCAACGCATAAAACTCATCCCATAATAGTTAAAAAAACACAGGGAAGACTATCAGGAACGAGAAAAGATCCGCTTCTATGCCTGCATAGAATTACGCAGATGATTAAGACTGGAACCCAGGTTGGAACGCACCAGGCTTGCCGGTGTGATTATGCGTTTATGCACCAGAATTGAAGTACTCAACATGAATGGTTGTTACTGCACACCTACTTTTTGCGCTCACTAGTGTAAATCATCATAAATTTTGCATAAAAAAAAACAATTCCCATTTAACGGTTGTTATTTGAAAGTAACCTAGCTGTTCAGTGAGCAATTTTCCCGCCAAAACTTTCACATACCCGTACGTGGGTACACAATGTGCCTGGGAAACTGAATTTGAAATCTTTAAATTGCATGTAGACAGGGAAAATCCTCCTAAAATTTCAGCCCTTCAGCTTTTCTGGTTGCCGAGTTGGCAATTTTTATGCGTTTTTTGCAGCTATGCAATGCAAAAAACGCACATTGACGAGAGGTTGTCTCTGTGTGTGTGTGTGTGTGTCTGTGTGTCTGTGCGTCTGTGTGTCTGTGTGTTCGTCTGTACCGA